CGCATATCCAATGTAGGTTTCACATAACAAATTGGTGCATTATTTGGATGTGTATCCATTAACCAGATACTAATTGGAATGTGATAAGTAGTGCCTTTAAATGTAACGGGAATAGTACCACTCAAATTAACTAATTTCTTTTCAATTCTATTTGAAAACAAAAATGTCTCAAAATTACAAACGAGTCCGTGATAATAATTTAACGTTTTTATAATTTCTTTTTTTGTATTTTCAGGAAATTTATACATGGTTAGATATGATTTTAAAAGACTATCTTCGATTCGCATCATTTTGAGTTATTATTTATCCTCCTTAATACATAATAAAAAACATTACAAATTAAAATATAAACACCGACTAATTTCAGTAGTTTGTTAACTAAACTAAATAATTAATCAATACATGAGTATATGATTAAGAATCTAATTTGAAAAAAAAGTGAATTGCCTAAAAAATGAAAATAGGTATTTTAAACTATTAAGGTACGATTACAAATCAACTCATGATTAATTTTCGGAAATTGGTATCTATTAATTTGTTACAATAAGTAGAATAATTTATTGAATTATGATGAAAATGGATGTAAATGTAAAACTATAAATTACGTGCAATCGAGTTACCTACCTATATAGCTATATTATGTAAATTATATTAAAACGATTAAATAAATAATAATTTCATACAAAATCCTTTACAAAGTATCGCAATTTTGAGTTGTTGGATAATTTTAATGAACAATAAAACTTACGTCTTTATAGTTAAAGGGCTACAGTGAAATCGAGTTGGTTGTTTTAATTTAATTGTTGGATGTTTTTAAAGAAACACTTAATAAACATAATAATAAACACGTAATAATTATCAGCTAAATATTCAACTTATGAAAATTAAATTGAGATTAAAATATTAAAAAGATTAAAATTTACACTTCTTATTCAGACACTAATCATAATATTATAATATATTACATAGTATAGATTACACACCACATATTAATGTTAGTATGTTACTAAACTATCAAGTATCAAGACGGTGGTCTGTGAAATGTGAATCATATGATGTTGAGTACAAAAGTGACTACAAAATTACAAATGATAATAACTGTATTTAACGTTGTTGATAGATAAGAAAACAGAAATATTAAATATTAAAAAAAAAAACAATATACCAGTATATTCTTAAAAGTTAAAGTCTTAAATATTTTAATAGTCATATAGATTATAGACTAGATTTTGGAAAAATTTAAAATTACAGAACCGACGCGCATAATAAATATGAAATACAATCATAGATGTGCGTACGGGATGTGCAGGGTATGTCGCTGCAATTTTTGGAAGGGGCCCATTGTTATTCCATCATAGAGCTAATTTGTATAACAAACTATAGGTAAAATTTTTTAGTTAATGATTTAAATTAGAATCCAATAAAAATTAAATTAAAATTTATAGTATTACAAATAAGTAAAGACTAGAATGACTCCCTAAATACTTGAACATATTAAATAAAAGTCAAAATATGTTATAGATTTTCAACTAAATTATTCTATTAATCAGTACCTAACGTTATTAATATTTAATAATTAATTATAAATAACCGTTTAATAATAACATACAGCGTATACCTACCACAACAATTGCAGGCTGTGAATGACAGAGTGTAGGATTACTAGGATCGTTTCATTGACTGGTGTGGCGGTGTCTACCAAACGAAAAGTTTGGGAATTTATAAGGATAAATAACATAAATATTAAAGTTAGTAATTAAAGTAATTGAAAAAAAAAAAAATTGTGCCTATGTATTTTTAATATTTTTATGTAGATAAAAGCAACTCATGTGAGATGTAATTGAATTTTTAAGAATTTTAATCTAGCGATTTGATGCATTGAGTATTTGATGTGTTTTTTATGCATGGATTCTTTATAAACAGAACAGAAACCTTTATATAATTGATGCTTTCGCAATTAAATACAAATTGCAATATAGACGCGATATTCGATTTCTAGAAGTCTTGTATTGCAGAGTTATAATTAAGTTAAATAAACGTATATAAGACTCATTTTTGATTTACTTTCGATAATAATTTTTCACGAATTATACTGTTAGTATACCTACTACCACGACTCACGAGTAATAGTTTATGTTGATCAACGTGACTTGATGTTACTATAATTTCTCAATAATTATTTAATAATAAGGCCTATTTACCGCATTTATTTAAAAACGAAATGGAGTTATTATTAACTGTTTGATATTTAAAGTTTTAATACACCTATTATTATTTAATTATAATAAACGCAATATTTTTGGAAAAAATTAACTTGTACATTTTATGTACTATTTGGGATTTAGTGTATAATATTATACAAAACCAACTTATATCCACAGTGGATCATCCCTCTTCAAAACATAAACAATTGTATATAACGCACTTATACACTGATATTAGCACTCAAAAATAGTAAGCACAATAGGAAATAAGAATATTTTAATTACTAATATTTTATTTACTTATATTTATAATCTTGTTTAAAAATATTTATCTAAAGATTAATTAAAAATATTGGCTGGCAATAATCAATTAGGCACAGTAATATTCTTTATTTCTATGTTTCATCTGCAATTGTCTATTACCAATTTTCTACAAAAAGCAGAACAAATTTTATAACCCAAATTTCACACTAAATACCTTAAAATTGCAGTTGATTTTTCTTTTATATTCTTAAAATCGCATAATATATTAATAACAAATTCTAATATCATATTAAATAAATATGATCACCTATTTATTTTATACTTATATTATTCTGCATTGTATTATTGAAATAAAATATACATAAGTAATTAGTTTATTTTTTAATGACTAAAATAGTAAATACAAAATATCTATGAGGAACTATTGTACTTTAGTAAGTATGTAAGTGCCATTACAAAAGAACAGAATTATCAAGTTTTTAAATTTTGGTCACTTATGATTTATGAATTATGTTTTTAGTAATTTGAAATAATTATTACAACATAATATGCAGGTTACATGTAATCACAAATACAATTTTATAGATCCAATTAATGGAGCACACTCAAAATATTAATAATTAATAATTTATAGCGATTAGCTGAAAAGTAGAATAAAAAATACTAGAAAATTCGATCTATGTTAGATATCTACTTAAAAGTATTACCTTAGTCAATTTACTCAAATAATAAATTATATGGTTAAATAAGTGTAAAATATATCATTATTTACATTTCATATTCATTATTTTTCAAAAAAAAAAAGAAGTTAAATTATACTATTGCAAGTAATAATAATTGACAATTACTTAAATCTACTGTATATGTGGTAAAAAACAAGTATAATCCTAAAGTAAATACTAAATAGCTCTAAGTAAGAAAATATAATTGATATTTATGCTATCCAACCCTATACTATTGTCACTTGATAATCACTATAATCTATACTATCTGAAATATGATCTGAGAAGTACCTCACAATCTTCACATTTCACTTAGTTACATAGCTACTAGTTACTGCTTAGTACTTACTAGTACCTACTAGTTATATGCAACACGAAGAATTGAAAACTATACAAGAAAATATCAGCAACATAACATAACACCAATATTTCAGAATTGTAAAAAATCAAAAATTAAAATCATTTAAAAAGTGAATTAAGATGTTTAATTTAATAATAGATCACAAAACAATAAAAAAAAAAATATGTGATCATTAAATTTTTTATAAAATAGTTTACTAATGTATTAATATTAAATATTAAAAACTACATTTATTTTAATTTTAAAATTATAACCTCGTAAAGTATAATTAATATTATTTATAAATTATTAAATAAATTAAAAAATATTTTAAATACAATATTATGGTTTACATTCATAATGGTATGTATCTAATGATCTTAGATCTCTCCAAGTAGGTGGATATGCATTTAGTAGTCGATTTCCACATGCTTTACATACTGAATTGAATAATATCAAATAACTATTAAGCCAAGTCTGTAAACAAAACAAAGATAAAATTAATATTTTGATGTTTTTAATTAAAACAAAAAAGTTATAAAGGAAGACTACCATGAATGATCGAACTGAAAGATCTGGTAATGTTGGTGAAGAGAAATGTAACATAGCTGCATTAGCATGATCAGTTATCTTACGAAAAACATGGTATCTTGATTCTTGCCAAAGTTCTTGTTGTAAACTATTAGGGTTAATAGGTTCATTAAATCCTTTAACAATAACCCATTCAATCATAACTCCTTTAAATGATATAATAGCTTGTAAAACTCTACTTAGTCCAACCTAACATAAACAAAATTTAAATTAATTAATACATCTTTTTTTTTTTTTGAGATAACAACTTTTTAAAAAACAATTGCATTTAATTATCTATATTTTTAAATTGTTTTATAAAAATTAGTATGTGTCTAGTTTAAAAATCTCAATATGGAATAAATGCAATTGAGTACTCATGCACATTTTCCAATTTTAAATTACAAAATGTTTATTAAAAAACAGTAATAAAAAAAAATTGTTACTCTCTTTAACATTTTAAATAATGTAAAAAAATTCAAATATAGTAGTAGTCTCGATAAAAGTTTAAGAATACTGCTTTTTTATTATATACATTAAATATAATTGAAAAATTAGACTTTTACCTAATACATATTATACCATTTTATTTATTAATCAAAGTAAGTAATATCTTGATATTAATATTATTTTTAAGTTTCCCAATCATAAACTATTGTAAATAATTATTGTTATTTATTGTTTTATAATATCAAAATAAGTGCATCTTAATAACATAAAGCTTAGTTGACCATATTAGGAAACCTTAAAATTAAATTAAATTAATATTAATAATATTAAAAAAGTAAAAAACAGATAACTTAACAATTTAATTTTTTGAAAGTTAAAAATTACCATTGATACATTAATAAGAGAACATAGTTATTCACTCCCTCTCCTCCTAAGGATATTTTTTCACTCAGACTTATGACATAGTAAATAAAAAAACAATTTTTAGAAATTTTCATTACCAATACTAAATTGCATTTTTCCTATAATATTATTAACATCATAATGAAATAATATATTTGTTTGTATTTACTTAAATTGTAAAATAGAAAATAAATATTGAAATAAAATTACCAATAGAACAACATTTGATGCACAGGGTCTTGTTATTGTAATACTCATATCAGGAAACATTCGATCAATATTAGTTAAAAGTACATCAACAGCTCTAAAAATATTTATAAGAAAATCAATTAAACTAAACATCAATTATTATAAATAAGAATATAATTAGATATTTACTGTGGTGATATATTATGTAAACTAGACTGCTGTCGTTTCTTTTTATTCGTACTAGAATTGTAATATGATTTTTTTAATGAATTATGACTTAAAATTTGTACAGCATTTGAGCTAAATTTATGCACCTAAAATCATATTACTTTGTTAGTTAAACACAAAATTATATATGTTATAAAGATTGAAGTATAATTAAATTATAATTTTAGTAGATACTTTATCAAGCCATTTATGAGAAGACACAAGAGGAGTGTATAATGCTTGTCGATCAGATGTGCTTTCTTGAGTTAAAAATGATGTATTATACAATAACATAGCACCTGGAGGACTTGATAAAGACCCAACAACTTGTTCAAGATCTCTAAAAATTAAAATGTAAAAACAGCTATTAAGTTTAGGTTAGTTTAATTTTAACAATTATTAAAATGTACTATAAATCAAACTAAACCTCATATGAAGTCCAAGTTTTCCAACCATTTCATTCATAGAATACATATAGCGGTTATCTTTTGTTTCTAATTGTGAACCATCTTCTTTTATACCTTCGCCAATTTCAATAATAAGCTGCATTAACTCCAACCTTAATGTTCTAACAGTATTTAAAGCAACTTGCATTGGATTCAACTCCATATTATTTTTATTTACGTGTATATCAAGTAGATAAATGTGAAAGAAAACAGTAAGTGTAGTAAATATTTTCTTTTAAACAATACAACGTTTTTTAATTTAATTTTAATTAGGAACAGAAAACCATAACCGATACACTGATCAATATTTATTTGACGAATAACGTAGTAAAAAATAAGTTTATTTTAATAGCATTATTTTATAACAAAGACAAATACCAAAAATTAATTAATTACTGAAATATGGATAAAAGCTACTAACATCATGTAAACAAAAATAAAACAATTTTGAATTTATAATCGTAAAATAAAAAAGAATAAACTTTACGCAGCATATTATAGATATTATATATTTATATGCTATTATCCGGAAATGATAAGGACTCGAAAAATGATAAAGGTACGAAATCGAAAAGTACTACCAACCGTTGTTACTTGTTAGTGAAAATATAAAAATTCCATATATAAATCACTGATAAAAATAATTCTGATTCCGCGCGTTTATTCGAAATATTACATACACATCACGATATAATTTATATTTTTACTAGCACTGGTGAAACTCGCTGTAAGTGAATACCCTAGGTCGGTGAAACTCGCTGTAAGTGAATACCCTAGGTCGGTGAAACTTGCTATATGTGAATACCCTAGGTCGGTGAAACTCGCTGTATGTGAATACCCTAGGTCGGTAAAACTCGCTGTATGTGAGTACCCTAGGTAGCTGAATATCGTTTGAAGTGAATTTCCTAGGTCGGAGACAGGACTTAAGAATACAGCAGTTAGAAAAGTCTAGTAGGCAAAACCAGTGATAACGACGAATGAGATGTTGGTACCTCTGATTTGGTGGCTCTACACTTTGGCGGTGTCGTTTTAAACGCGTAAATAATAAGTCTAATTCGAGCATCTAGTGGTCGGTCATTTCATTAAATTCACAGGAGTAATACACCTTGTCCCGTAGCTTGCCCTGTGCTTTTGTGCATGGAAAATAAATAAATACATTCCGAAATAGTGATTAAATGTCTATTTATCAGTCATTGCCGGTGCTTGTCGTTACTCGGCTGGGCAATCGCATGCAACACGCAATAGCGCGGTAAAGCTGGAAAATAAATAAATACATTCCGAAAAATTAATTAAGTGTCTACAGATTTATGTGGTCATCGTCCGGTGAATATCATCGATTCCTGACGGGGCGAAATCGCCGCAACAGCGGGTGTTATCCCATACCTAACAATCAGAAAGCGTTGTGTGCTGTTCCAGCGAAGTACGCAAAAAGTTTAAGAAGTCGAATCGAGCGCTCAGAACTGCCAAGCGATCACCAGCGAAATCAAAGTTAAACGCGTTTAAACCTCCCAAGAGCATCCGACTGCGTCAGATCCGCGGACGATAATGGGCGTAAGGAAATTTTAAACGCATATTATGGAAAACGCGTAATAAAGCGTTGAAATTGAAGATCAAAAACATATATATTTAATGCGCACGATATGAGGTAAATTAATTAACACAAAATTTAAAATTAAAAATGCAAAAATCGAATGTTTGGTCAGTTATCGTGGTCGTTCGCCGGAACGTGTTTCGAACCTGCCTGCACCTAACGTCGGAGAACTTCGTCCCGTAGCTCGTTACGAAACGGCAATCGAGTGTCTGGTGTCGTCCGGTGAATACGATTACTGACGGGCAATCGCCGCGGCGGATTGTCATATCGACGTCGAAAACGTTGTACTGTTTAGTACGCAAAAAGTTTAAGAAAATCAGATCGGCGCTCGATTTTTCAAGCGATCACCACTGAAAATCCAGTTAAACGCGTTGAACGCCAGATGACGATCCGGCCGTCGATCGCGGACGATGTGGTACAAGTAGAAATTTTAAACGTATTAATAGAAATACATATCAAGCGTTAACGGTTGGCTGGTAAATGGTAGTCGAAAGATCAAGAAACTGCTCTTATATTTAATCATTTTTGATAACCCAAGTACAGTGATTTACAATTTGAAATCAGAATACTTAGTCAGTTATCGTACCGACGGATTTTGCGCCGGAACGTGTTCGAACCTGCCTACTAACGATGGAGAACCTCGTCACATGGCTCGTGCAGCTTGGCGTCAAAGTGTCTAGGTATCAGTCATCGCCCGACTTTGGTGAAAGTCGACCTGCTGAAAGGTTATCCGATTTCCGACGGAACAGATGAATTTCCGTGGCTCGCCAGTACTTTTAAATGCAAATAATAATACACTCCGAAAAGGTTCTTCAATGTCCAGATTGTCAGTCATCGCCCATCGAATATCGATACCTATTAGGGCAATCTAAGCTGCGGCAGATTGTCAGCATTCTGACGCGTCGAAAACCGTTGTGTGCTGTTTGGCGCAAAAAGTTTAGAAGAATCGAAGGCACTCGATTTTCAAGCGATCACCACTAATCAATTAAACGCGTTGAACGCCAGGTAAGGCGATCCGACCGTCGGATCGCGGGCGTGGGCGTAGGAGATGTTAAACGCATTATGGAAACGCATGAACGTTGGCG